AGAAAATAAATAGATTATTGATACTATAAAATTAGAATAATTGGAAAAGATATTTATATTTCAAATTATCTCTTTTGAGTCTAGTAATATACAGTTATTTATATTGAATGGATATAAAAGTTATAAAACTATGTTCTTTATATACAAATATTTCGAATATAATATATATCTTTTATTCTATAATCATTAGATTTATTAGTTTTTTCATTTTTGAAAAATGCTTATCAATATATACTCAATAATTTGAATTCTTTCTCTGATTCTATATTAATTGAAAAGCGTAGCTTTTATTATTATTATCAAAAGACTAGAGCAGAAGCTTTAATAGTCTATAATATCAAAGTGGAATGGAAAGCATCGGATTTATAATCCAAAAACTATACTAAACCTTTTATAAGTCGATTATTGCTTGAAAACAGCAACCAAGAGGTTTTATTGATTAATCCAGTATCTGATAATGATCTCTAGTTTTAATAGAATATAGAAGTATTAACTATTGTTTAGAAAACTCTTCAAAAAGCATTTGATCTTTGATTATATATATCGATTATAATCTAAGAAAAAGAGCCTGATTTGCTAACGAGATGGTTGCTTTTTCGAAAGATTATTAAGGTTTTTGATATCAAGGATTATAAACTTATAGTATTAGAGAAACGAATAAAGCAATTAGAATATCAATTGGAAACAGTTGTATCTAAGAAAAGATATAAAATTATAACTAATCCAAATACCAGATTTATAGAGATTAAAGTTATTAGGGAAACACAAATCGTAACTAGGAACCATGGAATTATTGCAGAGAATAGTGATAATACAATTGAAAATGATGGTATAGGCGATTTTATTTTAATTAAATAATTATTGAGTTATATGGTTTGGGAGATAGAGAGTTTTTTTTTATTGGGTGGCCGAAAAGGGGGGGTGGCCGAAAAGTGGGGTAGTTGACTTACTTTCTGAAAATCGAGCAAGCCATATAACAAAAAACAGAGACAAAATAACAGAGACGAGTAACAAAAAACGCACCCACTCACTCACCCACTCACTCACTCACCGGCTCACTTACTTCCAAGCATTCCTACAGACTGACTACAGAGTAGCTAGCTAACTCCCTAGCTAGTTAACATAACAGAAATAATTCCACCAACACACCAACACAACACAACCTAACCTTCACCATCCCCCTTCACCATCCATCCATCCATCCATCCCCTTCACCGCCCCAATATAAAGGTCGACCGTTGACAGTCGACCGTCGAGCCTGATCAATTCAATCCAGGTCGACCCCCAATCCAGCTCAACCCAAGTCCAGCTCAATCAATAACTTCCGAAAATCCCAAATTATTTGGGCCTATGGAATTGTGAGATCAGGATTAGGAATACCTAGAATTGATGAATCAATCCTTCGAGGCTTGAGTTATTAGAGTATTTGTTGGTGGGTGAGTTATGTTGGTGATTTAGTGGCTTATTTAGTGGTCCTTTTGATGGGGTTGTGTGGATGGATGGATGGGTTTATTTGGGATTTAGGATTTGGGATTTGGGGTTTGGGTTGTGAACTTTTTTGAGTTATGAGGGGTGAGGGAGGGAGGGAGGAGAAATGAATATGAGAAATGTGTATTACTCCGAAAGCATGAAAGAATACTTACTAATTTTACTTTACTTACTCGATTTCATGCCATCATCGCAAAATCCTTCGATGATATGGCTATGGAGAGGAAAAGGAAAAGGAAATAAAAGTTGGAGGTTGCCTTACCGCGCGCGTATTATAGAGCCGCGAGAACCGCATCAGCCGACCTGGAGTCTCATTATTTTACATCAATCAAAATGGATTCAAATCAAGATGATAAAATTTTTCACTAACTAGGTAATTTCCATTTCCATTTCCATTTCCATTTCCATTTCCATTTCATCTCTCTCCAAATTCTGTTTCCCTTTCCCTTCCCCTTCCCCTTCCATCGATTCTTCTCCCCTATCAATCAATCTCTTCATCATCCACCTCAATAGTTCGATTCATCTCAATTCAATAACACTCCATACCATCCCATTCCATCCAATCCCATCTCACTCGATCCAGAGTACCCCATCCATCCAATAGTAATCCCAATTCGATTCAACCAATTCAAATCCCTCAAATTTAACTCCCAAATCAAATGGAATTAAACTCAAGTGACATCCATCCATCCATCCATCCATACCATCAAACCCCGCTACTGTAAAACGCGAGATCTATCTGCACCCATATGCATCTGCTACCTCTCCTAGAAAGAAAAGAAATCGTAAAAAGAAATGTCTCCGGTCCACCCGTCAAGATCTAAAAGAATTCATCCATCCATCATATTCCACAACCACCATCCAATCCAATACAACCCAAACCATACCATCTAACCCCGGCCACATTAACCACTACTCATCAATTCATGAAAAAAGAAAACTCAGAAGAGAAAAAATAACAAGGATCAAAACTTTCGTAAGACTTATTTGAAGAAAAGAAAAAGCCAATAACAAGTGCGCCAATGATAACAAAAAAATGCAAGTATGCTTCTACAAGATGTGTTCGGTTTTGAAAGTTTGAGATGAGAAGGTCGTTTCATCCACAATTTCTTATTAATGACTGCCATAACCATATTCATCAGAAGACCAATCCATCGTCATATTCATATTTTGAGACAAATGTTGCTGTTGCTGTTGCTGTTGCTGTTGCTGTTGCTGATGATGGTGATGATTTTGGTAGTGGTTTTGCGGTTGATGATTGCTAGTACCAGCAGCGGAATTGGCTGCAGTTTGAGCATAAAATGCAATCAAATCTTGGGGAAGGATGCCAGGGAATCCGAGTGGTGCTTGAGGAATTAGTTCACCGAAAAGTGGGACAGGATTGCTATTGTGTCTTTGCTGAGGTGCAGAGAAAAGTTGGAAATCCTGGACACCATTGGTGGTCACGCGAGTGTTGCTTGGAGCAAAGTCTTCAAAGCCTTCATCAAAGTCTTGCATAGACTTTGGTGTGTATAGCATTGTGTTACCTTCGCCGATTGGTGAAATGTGTGCCATGGGCTCTGAGTGTTGTTGGTGTTGTGTTTGATATGTGACACCAGATGTCTCGAATGTCATGGCATTTTGACCCATAATCTCTTGATAGATTTGATGGTTGGAGGGCATTTGAATTTGAGCTGGAGCGCTGTACAGATCAGTTTGCTCATAAGCTGCCCACTCATCGTTGTTTGATTGATATGACTGCATACTCTCTTGAAATTGTTCTTGAGCACCAAGAACAGATGCAGGATTAAAGGGAGAGTTTGCATCAAATGGCGAGTGACCATCGGTGGAGTAAGAGTTATCGGTCACGGGAGAATATTCAATGTTCAACGATTGTGGAGGTTGGAACATGTTCATCTCGGTGGGGAATGCCGGGAAGAAGTCCATGCTGTGATTTGTGGTGTACAATGAGGTGTTCTCATAGATCATCTCATCGTCAGCAATAAGCGGAGATTCGAGATTGGAGTCGCTTCCTGGAGTATGGATGATGGTGGCTTGAGGGGTTGGAAGACCGTTGGGAATGACAGCCGGTGCAGCGGGTCTGTTCTTTCCGTTGTTCTTGGATCGAACGTACTCCCATCCATGTGCTTTCTCCATGTGCTGTTTGCAATTTGACTCACGTTTCGATCGGTATGGACACGGTTTGAAGTGACATTCGTATAGGGGAGGAGCAGCTGAATGTTTGTCATTTTGATGACGGTCCATTTCCTTCTCGGTTGGCCAACCATATTCGTGGTACTTGCATGAAGTGATGGGACATTTCCATGGGCGAGAATGGGTCTTCTCATGTTTTGTCAAATCACATGGACGCTTAAACGATTTGTCACATCCAGGTTCCCGACAAAATTTAGGAGCGAGCTCAGCAGCAGAGGCATCCTTCTTACGACGAGCCATCGATCTCATCACCGACTCTTCATCTTCGGCTTCCGCGCTCAAAGACCGCTTGAGTCTCATAGACTTATTGTCATCATCGTCCATATCGACTGGTTTGCCGGTGGCGATAGAAACGGCTTTGCCAGTCTTCTTATTGACACGGACAAGTTCAGCAGGTCGACCATTTCTGGTTAGGCCGCCGTGAAGCTTGACCTCATCCGACCTATTTGGAAAAGTGATTAGCAACTTTTCAGACTTCCATCCCAGGGATGATTGAAGAAAAGGGACATACGGGTGAGCATCCATCTCGTCAAAAGTCTCTCCTTTCTCCTCCTTCTCCTTGGCTTCCCGGACCTGTTCAGCGTACTGCTTAATCTGTTCGACGAGGTCGACAAAGTATCCGTTAGTATATGGGCGATCGTTGGGTCGAATTTGCTCGCGTTCATTCACAAGTTCGACAGTAGCCTGAATACACCGAATCGACTCTAGGCAAAAGTGGAGATACAAGGTGGCGCTCTTTGTGTACTTCTTCAATCGCGAGAAACAGTGAGCAACTCCCCAGGCGACATCATGATGGATTTCACTTACCGGTGCTGTAAAAATTAAGGTCTTCTCCAGGTCACGAAGACATACGATCTCCTTCTGATGAATTCGTCTTGGACAATCTTCGACGAGAGGATGCAAGTCTCTGAAAGACTTCTTTGCCAAAAGTGGCTTCAGAATATGCTCTTGAATGCGATCGGTGGTACGAGCACTGAGTCTAGGGAGACGCTTGATGGTTGCAGAGGGAGCAGCAGCCGACATAGTTATGGTTGATGGCTTCGTAGATTTGGAAGCATTGTCGTTGGTAGATACATCTTTATCCATTGACGATGGCCCGATCGATGACCCAAGACCACTGTCTGCGTATCGGTTTGTAGTGCGACGAGGACGGGATGAACGTCTAACGGAAGAGATCTCTGATGGCATGACGCCTTCCATCAATGGTGTATTGTATTGTTTGGTGGAAGGGTTCTCGACGTTGACGACACCTCGAGGAACAGGATCAGACTCGTCACGGAAATGTCGGCTTGATGTAGAAGGAGATTGATTGCCGGCGGCGGTGAAGTCGAATGATTCTATAACATCGGCAGCACGACGTTTGTGTGATTCGACAGCGTGATATTCAAGATTGGATAATGAACGTTGAAGAGATGAGAGGTTGAAAGGGCTTTCGACCTCGTTCGTAGAAGAAGAAGGTGAGTGAAAGGTGGCAGCTTTGCGAAGGGAATCCATAGTTTTATTAACTGTTGGACGGCCTGACGCATTCGCAAGAGGAGTCACAGCAGTAGATGTGGTCTTTGTAGTTCTTCGGGGATGTGAGAACGACATCTTTCCTGAGTGGTCAGGTCTTGTAAACTTGCGAAATTGTTCGAAGACTGGGATAGGGTTTGGTTAGCCCTTGGGATCCTTTATTCCATGCAAGAAATATGAGTCACAAATGGGGATGCATGAACCCTTTTCGGAGTGTAGATATGGTATAGATCCAAATATAAGATGGAGGTGAAAGTAGCTTCGGTGTAGAATGGGAATGTATGGTTGGAATTGATCAATAGCTCAATCAAAGTGGATGGATGATGATGATGATGATGATGATGCAGTATTAAGTATGGGGAAGAATGAATCAGAGCATACAATAATCAACCGCACAATTTCACCTTATACAAGGCTGACAACCCTTTTCGAATCGTAGTACAGATTGTAGACTCACTCTATGAACGACCTCTATTTAGCGTTGCGTTGCGTTGCGATATTTATTCGTATAATCAAAGCTCTGATGGCCGAGTTATCGTTGATGGCCGTGCTGTAAGAGGAAGAAGAGAAAGGGGCGCGAAAGGTCGAGTTGGAATTGTCAAGTCAATATGAAGACAATTGAAGAAGCAAGTGTGGGTTGTTGCCTGGAGGTCTTGGTTATGGTTATGATCAAACGAATGAGGTATGATTGGGTGTATATATTTTAGTCGTTATACCGGAAGAACGCGTTAGTGAATTCGTGGCCGGTGAAGAATATGGATATATTTTGATTGTCGATTGTCGAATTAAACTTGGGCGTGTATGAAAGGTTTATGGGTGAGAGAGAAGAAAGGGAGGGACGAGAGAGAGAGAGTTCGTGAGGGATGGATGATAGATGATTACGGAAAGGTGAGATTTAGGTGAGATTTTGGATTGATGTCAAATTAGGCCAATAATGTTTTAATCCGCCTTGTCAAAAAGTACTAGGTAATTTCTTCACCATTTCACAAAAGCGGCCATTGATTTCTAGGCAGCAGTGAAAAAAGGGCTTGTAATCAAATTCAAGGGTTGACAAGGATGGATGATCATAGCATAGGGAGTTAAGCTTGATAAGTCATCAAAGAGAAACTATGTGGGAGTGAAAATAATTGAATTGAGGTGTGGCAATTGTAAATTTCATCCTTCACTACAAATAATTAGTATCATCCTTTACCGCTTTCTATTTTTGTATCATCACAATCCATCACATCAATGCTTATATCGGTACAATTGAATTGATAAAGCTACTCGGACAGTCATACAAATAGAAATACCTAGGTATATATTAAGAAAGTCTTGAGAACTCGAATCTCATAGTATCCAATAAATAAATACCTCATTATTCTTCACAACAAATCTCGACTTGGGTGTCTTTTCCATACCGAGTCTACTCATATACTCATATATATATACAGAGTAATATACGAAACCGAGATCAAGATTCAAAATTCACAGCAAACCGTTCTAGTACTACTTCTTTCCTTAAGCCTCATCAACATCCCATCCCATCCTATCCCATTCTTCATAGAATAATACCTAGTAAATAATACCAAAACTCTTCTCCACAAAGGCGTTTATTCCCTACTACCAGGTATAACAAGCTTAACATGAATCCACGAGTGTCATTTCCAAGTACATACATACTGAGTAGTTATAGGAGGCGGCTTTGGAATCCCTCTCCTCTACTCTATATATACCACGCTTATAGATCAACATCTCCTTCATCCTCAAAATCAACCAAGAAACCTCCTTAAGCTTTATTAGCTAGTAGCCCAAATAATCATATATATCAGATTAGGTAGGGAGTACGGCCGTAACCTACTTAGTTATTACTTGTACATGAGTATCGGTATTTCCATAAGATGAAATCTATATGCCCATCCACAACCAACTCTTAGCGATACTAGGTATATATATATACCCTGAGCTAGAAGAGAAGGACACATCTTCTCACTTCTCACTTCTCGTCCCCTCCTATCGAGTTGATATATCATAATCAATTTACAATCAACCCAACCTGCTATACAATATACAACTCAATTACTCAACTCAATTTAATTCAGGGTGGGTGAATGAGTGGCAGAATTCTGGGTGAACGTATAAAAAAAGCGTGGGAATGGGATTAATAGGACGGCTCAATATGATCACTCACAAGGGAGGCAGGCCCCACTAGATTGTTTCTTAACATAGTTTCGCGCTTAAACCATTTATGGTGGGTAGTGGGTAGTGGGGAGGAGATGCTATTTCCATGTCTTGGCACTTGAGTATATACAAGATGATGATCATTTTAACATTATTGATGCGGATATGTATATCCGCAAGAGTCCATCCATCCATCCAGTCCATAATCCATTCAACTCTTCTTCTATCCTTTAATGTACATTGTATCAAAACATCACATCCTAACAAAATACAAACTCCTCACTGGCACCTTACTCAGTAACCTTAGTTTGGTATAAGAAACTTCATTCCCCCAGTACCAGTACCATACCTACTATCCCAAATCATATTACATATCATACCAAATTGACATCCAAATTGACATCAAATTTTCGAAACGAACTTTATTGAAACAAACTGGCAGACAGACGATCATTCGAAGCGAGAGCGAGAGCGAAATAAGAATATCAACCTAGGGACAGACCATAAAGTTAAATCTCGCTTCGAATGAACAGATGAGGGACCCGCATTCTCTCAATTTTCCCAACTCAATGAGCCCCGTTCCGTTTCTCACATCCATCTACCTCCGTACGGAAGAAACGGGAATTCCCACTTTCTTCTCTTCCATTTACTTCATCGAAGCTGCTAATATAATACTTCATAAAACTTCAAAAATCGCATCAAAATAAAGAAAGGTCAAGGAAGGGCCCAAGCTAAACCAAACCAAACCAAAACCAAACCAAGCCGTGTCCATTTCCATTTCCAATTCCATCATCAATTAAATACAAGAACTAGGGGTTCAATAAAAACATAATCAATTATTTCTTTTTTCATTTTTTCATCTATGCCATACATATACACTACACTACACTACACTACACTATACAAGTCAACACAAACACAAGTCCGGAATAGAGTACCTACCTATCTACCTACTCTATACTATAACATAAGACAGGGAAAATAACAAAATAATACCCCGAGTCCCATACCCATCCATATTCGACTCACCGAGTTAAATCTTACATTAAGAGCCTCACTCAATATAATATATAGCCGAAAAGAGTTGAAAGACAACAACCCAAAACAAATTATAATAAACCGCAAGGAGGTCTGAGCCATTTCCACTTCCAAGTACTTCGCTGCTTTCAAGAATCTAGAATTCTAGATGGATGTATAGTAAGAAGTCGAAATTTACGTACGTAAGAGAGCCAATGAGAAGAGGGAGCTCTCGTTAAAATTCGGTGATGTACAAGTATCTAGTATCTCACAGCCGGTAAATGGTAATGTGCTTCCGTACTTGATACTTTAACTTGTCTTTCTGTGCTCAGTTTCTGAAATTCCCCGCGAATTCAAAATAGTTGATCCTGCTTTGAATTTGATAGAATAATCCCCCTGTCACAACCAACCATATTAAAAAGAATCTTGACCAAGTACAGTACCTGAAATATGTACTGTATTGGAATATTTGGTCGTCAGCGATTCTTGGCGACTTACGAGTATGTATACGTTTGCACTTTGTAGATAGGTCCATATATCGTCACGTTCTCTAGGTATCAACAATTTGTATCCCGTAAAGATCCTAATTATTGATTTGCAACTTCCTGCTTAGACATCAGGACCTTCGTGTCTGCGTTGATATACGTCGATTTCTAATCTTTCGCGGTTACTGCTTTTGAATTGAGTTCATCACTGTTTGTTTGAACCTTGAATTCGGAATTGTATAAAAGGTCGTCAGATGTTTGATATGATATCGTTATGCGGACCTTTCGTATAAGTTCCCTAGGCGGCCGAGACGACGGCGGACGATGACTCCAATTAATTTGAATATGTCTCTCCGCAACTTTTAAGCTTAAAAGCTTGATCTGCATCAAATCGAGACAATTCCTTGCAAGGATGAGTCAACGTTTGGTCCATAAAATTGATAGCAGTAGTATGTGGGAACATAATTGGGACGAAGGGTTGTCACTTGTCACACAACTTTGTGCCGCAGGGCTGCAGAAGTATATCTTCTCTTCGTCATAATGGGATGCACGGCACATCTCTACCATTCTGATTCTTCCCTCTGCCCCTTATTTGCCCTGAAGCCCTTTTGAAGCCCTTGTGTATGTGTCCTCGTGCATCAAGCAAAAGTACCTGTAAATTCCCTCAATACTTCGTATACCATTCTCCAGCCCTATGAGGTAAATACAAGGTAAGTACAAGGTAAATACTCGAGATTTAACGGCGGTTCATTCCCTTGGTTCCTCAAATGTCCTCGAAAGTCCTCAATGGTCCGTCTTTTTGGTTGATTGTACAGACCACACGACCTGCCAAAAATACAAAGCGTCCTTTTGTATTTCGTGACAACTGCTCCCGAAGACTTTTGTTGGTCAAGAAGAGGCTGTGTTTGTGTTTGTTATCTCGTAGGATTGACCAATGGCCTTGAGGATTTCTTCGGCAGGACGGTGCATCGTTACGATCCGTTCTTCCACCCACCGCAAGTCTTTCCGTAAGGCTTTCCCGTCCCCGTACAATGATCACCATTTATTTTATTTTATATACTTTTCTGTGCATGTGCCACGAGATACTCGACACATTGAAGGTGTTGCGTTGATAGGTATGTAGTAACTTGTGCGATCCAGTAACTCGAAAATTTGGTTGTTCGGGCATTTTCAAGCCTTTGAGCGGAATTGAAAGGCCGTTTGTTTTGGGCATTGATCTTCAAAGCCATTGACATCGCAAAGAGGACTTGATCTATCGCGTGTAACGACAATCAATCCAGCTTGTCCGACAAAGGAAATTGTCAAATTGAAATTATTGAATCGTATCGTCTTTTCTCGAATTCGCTCGAAGAAATGGAAGGAAGGCTTGTTCTCCTCAAATTGTGACCTTGAAGTTTAGGTCATCAATATTCTAAAAACGCGTTATCACATGATCTCAAAGCATTGACCAAAAGGGTTCTCTGTACGATTCCTTTCTTCTTCTTCTTGATGAAACACGAAACCTTCGGTTGTCAATAGCAGATATCAAATAATGCCATCAGTATCCAAAGTATTGGCTATGCTTGTTTTCGCTCCATGAACTTACTTGAACTTACCTTTAAGCTTCATCCACTTGATTATGTCCTTTCTTTGCATTCACAAACAGAATGTTTAGGTCAAGTTATGACCATGATTCATTCTCTAACTGAAGTAATGGGTCGAGGGAATCATACATTCATTCATTCATTTTATATATTATGGAGTCATTCGTATACAAATTTTCGTAAATCCGCTCTTATGGTGTGTGATTCATTGCTATTTTCACAGTCATTTCATGTACCTCTTTGATTGAAGAACAAAACGGCTCAACAATCACATTTTCGAGAGTTTCTTTCTTTCCTTTGTTCAATCACGAACAACACTATTGTTGAATCTACACGTTAACAACACGAGAACAATCTTCTTCATTAAACTACATAAGCCTTCGCATAGTTACAAACGTTCTTCCTTCCTCAGCTCATACATCAACTTAAACTTAAACTCGATCCAGATTATCTTAAAAATCATAACTCAAAATGTTGTTCAAGAAAATCCAGATCACATTTTTCTCAACCATCGCCTTCGCGGCACCTTTCATTCCAAGCAACACTATTTCTAGACGTGCAATGACATACGTCGAACAAGTTGGTGGAATCGTCCCCGACGCCCTTACCAGCTGCGCAAGCGCACCATTCCCAGCTGAATGTGCTACCGGCCCTCAAGCCGCCAAGTTCATCGCTGATGCCATCGGCGGTCAAGGTTTCTACTCCCCAGAGATCGGAGCTCTCATCGCCCTCATGGGCTTTGAAACCGAGAATTTCCAATACAACATCAACCATTTCCCTGGTCGCCCAGGCCAAGGAACGCGCAACATGCAGTCGGCAGAGTACAACTACCAGTACGCGCGATCCTTCCCCGAACTCTCAGCACCTCTCGCAGCAATCACAACATCTACCGCCACGGTCGGTTTGTCTCCTGATGTGTTAAACAAGATCATGGGTTTGGTGGCGGTCGATAAGTACTCGTGGGGAAGCGCAGGATGGTTTTTGAAGAATGTGTGTCCTGCGAGTGTGAGAACAGCTCTCCAAACAGGCACACAGGACGGTTGGCATGCATACATGGAATGCGTGGGGGTTAATAGTACTAACCCTGGCCGGTTGGCCTACTGGACTAGAGCCAAGACAACACTGGGATTTTAAGAGAGTGTGACTCCTTCGCTGGACGAATATTGGAGTTGATCCTTTGGAACAATCCTTCTCTTTTGTACATAATACATATTTTTTCTACTTGATACCATTTTTCCCTCTCTTGTATTGCTATTACACAACTATCTATTTATGAAAATATAGCTAAATAGTACATAGACATACAAATAAATATCGTGGCTTTCCATACATACATACATACATACATACACCATACATCTATCTCACATTAATCGTGCCTTTCTTCATTCCCAAACCTACCTACATTTACTTGACGAAATCATCATATCCCGAATTATATATAGCACATACCTACACCCTACCTAACTGGCCAGGTTTAAATATTGAACATAGGTTACAGACATAACGTTACAAAAAATTAATACAAGCCCAAGGGAATTTCATATCGTATCATATCATATCATCTACCATATCATCTTTTCATAGATACACCGATAGACATTATAAGATCCTACAGTACACAAAATTAAGTTTCAATTTAGATTTAAACATATATTTATCTCCATCTATCTATAATCTATCTCTCAGTATACCGTCCATAACCTCCCAACCTCCTATAACTTCTCAACCTCAACCTCGTCAAATTCTAATCCTATCCTTGATAAGACTTACTTCATCCCTGTCTATCTTATCTGTCTGTTTGTTTGTCTGTTTATTTGTTTGTTTATTTGTTTGTTTGTTTGTTTATTTGTTTGTTTGTTTATTTGTTTGTTTGCTAGTATATACAGTTGGTATATATATATTTAATCTGTAGATGATTCTAAAAAAAATATATATATATAACGTGGTTTATCAGTGCGTCGCGCATATCAGTGCCTCGCGCACTTTTTCACTACTCAATCATTTCAAAATATTATTCAATAATCACAACATATAAAATTAATTGAAACTATTCAG